TAAATAAATGAGGACAAAATATATGAGTTCCTACCTACTTATCAAATTAAAATCAAAGATTCTAGTCAGTAGGTGCGTTTTCCGGCCGGGATCCTAATTATAGAATCATTAAACACACATATACCCTTGTACTGTTAAATAACTCATTGGGAGCACAAAGTCCGTAGATCTATCAGGAAGTTTACTTTACATGCCATTGATAAAGTCTGCGTACTTAAGGTGCCGATAATGTGCAAGTTAGGTTCGTGTGTGCCAAATCAGCCAAGATTAAACGTGAAGTAAGTGTTCAGTGCTCACTGTGCTACTGCTACTGTTGCTACTACTAATACTGCTGCTACCACTATTTCCACCTGCCATTGTTGCAGCAAAGGATGGCGGCGACAGGCTGTACGAATGGAGCAGGCCAAATGGTCTCAGAAGGCTCGCAGTTCCTGCGGTGGTCGCTGTAACCGTGTGAGCTGAACCACGATGACTACTGGACAAGCCGCTAGAAGCAGTAGCTAAATTCGTAGCGATAGCAGAAGTCGTTGAGGCCGATGCAGTTGAAGTGGATGAGGTGCGCGCCAGACCGGCACTGCCTATTTGTCGACCAGAGACGTTTACCGGGGCGGAACTCACTGTCGAAGCAGGCGGAGGCGGCGGAGGGGGAGGGGGAGTTGATGAGCTTCCAGAGTCGCCAGGAGCACCGCCGACTGTGGTAGATAGCGTGAGTTCCATGGGTCGAGCAAGGAGAATGCCGCCGCTGCTACTTGCACTGCTGCTACCACCTCCAGACGCATCTGTGACGCTGGCCGTGTGTATACGAGGACCGGAACTTGAATGTAAAAAGTGCTGTTGCTGCTGCTGATAGGGGGTGTGATGATGATGAGCATGATGACTTTGGAGATGGGCTCCGCTGAGCGCGGCAGAGGCTGATGTAGAGGATAAGGATGGTACAGCTTGTTCAGAGGCAGAGGAGGCTGGAGTGGTGGCAGCAGAAAAGGCCGCAGCAGCCAATGAATGATGTTGCTGCTGTTGGGAGTGGGAATGCGACTGCTGCTGCGAGTGGTGATGGTGGTGAGCGAGGGAGGAAAGACCGACAGATGAGTGTGATAGCCCAGGCCCCGAGCCCGTCAAGCTGGACTGCAGAGCTGCTGGTGAATGAAAAAGAGGACTGGAAGGAGTGGTGGAAGCGGCGGAGTGCAGCGAATGCAGCGCCGCTAGGCTTGAAGGCAGAATTGGCATGCTGAGTAGGCCAGCTGATAGAAGGGATAAAAGAAGGATCATGAGTTTCGATGTGGAAAGTTTGAAGGGTAGGTAAATGCATGAATCTATCAATAATGTACTAGTGCTAATAGGTATACAAGTAGTCAAGTATATATCATATTTACGAGAGATGAGTGAGACACACAACAGAGAGTTAATCATTTATAAGTAGGCGCTCGAGACTACTAGTTGATCATATATATATGAGATGTATTCTCTCTAATTTGTTTAAGAGGGCAGAGGCTGGTAGTTGAATTTTCCCTCAATGATATGAGTAGACCCTACGTTTCCATTGAACTTCGCATAGCCTTGCCTTACCAAGAGATATTCTAATTCAGAATGGCGTAGTGATTAACATATCGAGATTATATCCTGCATTATCATGAAATGAGTCCTACTGGGGGTACTGATAAGATCTCAGTGATGTCAAAACTGCCATACACTTCAGCTGGATGAGAATGCCTTATGGAAA